CTACTATAAAATAGTAGAAGTTAATAAAAAGAACGACTATTATATGAAAATTCGTAATGCTATCGTCGAAGATAAGAATAAGTTTTAAGAAATTACTCTTAATAAATACTTCGTATAAGATAAGATACTTTATTATAAGAATCGTTTATAAATATTCGATAATATATATATCGATATTATTCGAGAGATATATAATTAATTATTCTATAATTATCTTAAGATAATATATATCTATAAACTATTTAAAAGGGAGTATTATTAGCGAGAAATAAAGGCGATAGTAGTTATCTATATTCGAAATTACTATATTTATTAGAAGACTAAAATATCTCGTAATTAAAAATATAATTTACTTTAGTCTCTATTAATTCTATAGAAGCGATAATAAGATATATTAGTCGACTTTATTATAGGCTTATCTATATTCGACGACTATAACGCTATTTAAATAGCGATTAATTAATTTATTAAGAAATATTACTACGTAGCCTATTTTAATATTAATAAAGATATTATCGCTAAGAAGATAGTTAATTTACTACTTAAAAAAGTATTTTATCTATATAGTCTATTAATCTTAATAATATTAAATTAAAGCCTTTAATTTATAGCTATTATATAAAAGTCTTTTTATAAAAGATTAAATATTATAGCTAAGCTATTAATAGTCTTTCACTCTAAAATCGATAAATAAATCGAATAAGCGAATTAAAATATAGAGCGTTATCTTCGAATATATTATAATTATATATAAAACGACTAAGTAAGATAGCTATCTATTATCGAGTTCGTCGATAATAATACTATCTTATTAACTACTAATATTTCATCTTTTCTTATAAATAAGAAATTTTATTCTCGAATAACTTTTAATTTAAATATTACTAACTACGAGATTATATATAAGCGTCTTAATATTACTTAAATAGAGAATATTACGAATTATATAAAATAAATTCTTAAGTATATTTAAAGTAATATAGATCGCGCTTAGAAGACTATAATTATATAAGTTAATAAGTATTAATAAAAGATTACTTTTTAAATAGACGATAAAATCTTTCTAAATAATAAGAATATTATCTTTAATTATTCTTTCCGCAAACTAAATTATAAGAGACTTAATCTATTTAAGATTATAGATCTTATAAAAATCTTATATTATCTAAAACTTCTATTAAGTATAAGAATCTATAACGTCTTTTATCTTAATCTCTTAAGTTTTATAATAAATAACTTCTTATTAGAGTAGATAAATTCTCCGCTAAAATATATTACTATTAATAATTAAATCGAATAGATTATTAAAGAAATATTTAACTCTAAATTAATTTATAATTATCTTAAGTATAAAGTTAAATAGAAAGATCTTAATAATAATTCTATTTAATATAATATAAACGGCGATAAATTCGAAAATTACTAGAATCTAATAGATAACTTTTATAAGCGATATCCCGAAGAGTCTTATCTATAAAGAATTAACTAATGAAATTTTAAAACTATCTTAAATATTTCATTTTTAATTAAATTAAAATCGTTCGATATCTTTATAATAGTCTTATTTTTTTAAAGTCGAGAATTAATCTCCTAGGTCTATATTAATCGAAAATTATATCATATATAATCTCTCGCGTAGAATTTCCTTACTAACTAATATTTAAGTATCTTTCGAAGTTATAGTACGTTATCTATATATCTTACTATCGCCGTCGATAGTCTTTATCGATATCGATTATATAATATTCTATAGAGAAACTTACTTAATATTAAATTAGAGTTTTTTAGCGCTTACGACTCGATTCGATTTAGAAGCTCTTAACTAATTACATCGTATTATTTCATTAATATTTTATCCGCTTAAATATAAATTCGAAAATTACTATTATTTATCTCTACGTCTATAAATATAGTTTTTATTATATTATATCGATTTTCTCTTAACTAGACTTTCTATATACGTTTAAATTAGAACTAACGACGTCGCTATAATATAAGTAAAGAGAGCTACTACTATTTCTAATATCGTCTTTAAAAAAAGATATTATATTAAAAGATCTTAGATACGATTATTTCTTTACTACTTTTACTATTTTTTTTAGACGTTAAGCGTATATATATATCTATTTTTCTATCTTTTTACTTATTAATTATAAAATATAATTTAATAAAGAAGAAAGATAATATTATAAGCGTATTCTTAATATATTTCTTAGCTTTATAACTAGCGAGCCTTAACGAAGATATTCTCTATTATATTATATCTTCTTTTTACTTATATAATTCGATATCTTAATTATCTTATTTAATATATCTATATTAATATTATATCTATATCGATTCTAATAAAAATTAAATTTTCTATAATTAATTAATAAACTAGCGTTTTCGCGAAGATCTATATATGTTAGAAGTAGTCTTTACGAGAATTCTACGATAGCTCTACGAGGCTCTATAGAGGCTCTACGAATAGATATTTAGATTCAAATAGGAGGTATCTAACTATCAAAGCGCAGACACCTTCGAAATTAGCTTTTTTAGCTGAGTTACTAACAATAGTATCTACGCTTTATTCCGAGTCGGTTACAGCCTAAAGAATCTGGCTAGAATTACCTCGAAGCGATACTAGCTATTGCCGAGGGTAACACGCTTAGTCTACTGAGGGTCGGGGGTTCGAGAACGCTTGAATCCTCTATCAAAAATCAGAAACTTAATTTTTTCAGAGGGCCGCTCGGGTAATAGTCACGCCGAAGGCGGGCCCCGAAGCCGAATGATTTCGGGCAGGACGCCCTATTCCAATGAGGACGTATTTCGGGCAAGACGCCCTATACAAATGAGATTTTCGGGCAGGACGCCCTATTCCAATGAGGACATTTCGGGCAGAACAGCCCTATTTCAATGAGGACATTTTCGGGCAAAACGCCTCAGGGCAAAAAGCCTAAGCAGACGCCCGGGAAAGAAACCCCGAGGCCGGCCAAAAAAATAGGCCTGAAATTTGTGTGCGCTAAGGCGGGCCCACAGGCCCGGAATACAGCCCCATTCCCACATTGCACCGACGTGAAGGCGGGGCCACAGGCCTTTCACTTGGTAGCCCCGTGGGCAAAAACCCCAGTGGCAAATTTGAAGTCCCGCAATAAGCGGGCATTTTAGCAGTCTTCGGGGGAGTGAACCCCGGAGCACAGGGCATGTTATCCTTAAGATCGTGAATCTTTCGGGGAGTGACTCCTCGGAACGTCCGCGATTTTTGCACTGTCTTCGGAGCTCGAGGACGAGCCCCCTAGAGGGGGAGGCATTGTTAGCAGCAGCCCCACGGGGGCTCTGCGACAGCCATACGGGGGCCCTGCGGGCAGGTATTTAGGTCCAAATAGGGGTGTCTGGCTGTCAAGCGCAGACACCCCCGGAATCAGCTTTTTTAGCTGAGTTACTAATAATATAAGAGTCTTTAATTAATATATATAAAAGAATAAGATAGAGCTAATTTAAAAAATCTTAAATTTATATATATAGTTAATTATAAATTTAAAATTACTACGCTCTTTAATTAAACCGACTAAGTTAGCTCGCTAGCCCTCTCGAGATCTCTTATTAAAAAATAGATATACGTTATTTATAATAGAAATAACTTTTTTATTTTCTATTAAAAATTTAAGATTTTTTTTTAAAATTATAGAGCGTTATTTACGCTTTTCAAATTTTTAAGAATTTTAAAATTTAATCTTATAATTATTAAAATGTAAGGTACTTAAATATCGCTTACTATAGATCGCTTATTAAAGATCGCTTATCAAATTTACTCGATAGCCCTTATTAAAAAAAAATTATAAATTTAATTTATAGATCTTTACTCGTAATAAAATAATAAAATAATAAAATATATAAAAGAATAAGATAGAGTTAAATTAGAAAACCTTGAATTTATATATATAATTAATTATTAATTTATTAGATCTACGCTTTTTAATTAGATATCGTAGATAAATAAATTAATATCTATAACTATTAAAATCTCGCCCTTCCGCGTCTCTCTTATTAAAAAAATAGGCGTATATTATTAATATATAGAATAACTTTTTTATTTTCTATTAAAACTTTGAGATTTTTTTTTAAAATTTTAAAGCGCTATTTATGCTTTTCGAATTTTTAAGAATTATAAAATTTAGTCTTATAATTATTAAAGCGTAAGGAATTCAAATATCGCTTATTAAAGTTCGCTTATCAAAGATCGCGGATAGCCGGACAGCCCTAATTAAAAAATAGATATATATTATTTAATTTTAGAATAACTTTTTTATTTTCTATTAAAATTTTAAGATTTTTTTTTAAAATTATAGAACGAAATATGGGCTTTTAGATAAAAAAAGAATTATTAAATTTAGTCTTATAAATATTTAAAGGTAACGAATTTAAATATCGCTTATTAAAAGTTCGCTTATTAAATTTACTCGATAGCTCTAATTAAAAAAAATGATTATAAATTTAATTTATAGGCCTTTACTCGTAAAATCGTAAAATCGTAAAATAATAAAATAATAAAATAATAAAATAATAAAATAATAAAATAATAAAATAATAAAATAATAAAATAATAAAATAATAAAATAATAAAATAAGAGATAATAATAATATTTTTAAGATATAGTAAGTTAATAAAATCTTAATAATAATAATTTAAGCTCTTTAATATAGAAGTATTAATAATAATAAAAGATTAATATTATTATACTAGTTTATTATATAAATTTAATAAAAGATAGATATTTTAATATTACGTTAAAATTATCGAATTTAAAATAAGATAAATAGAAGTATAGCGTAAATAAAAGTAGATATAATTAGTATTCGAATATTAAAACGAATTCTCAGCCCTATAAATCTACGCATCGCTGAGAGTTGCGATAGATGGCTATAGTACCTTTAATCGACCAGCATTGGTGCATATAGTCTTACATATTTATGACGAACGACTGTTAACTTAACGGTCTATTGCAAGGGGCCGTGATTTACCAGATGAACTCTGCTTGGACAAGTGCAGGGTCATCAGCCCGTGCTGGCGGAAAAGGTCGCCGATGCCACGCCCTTATGAACCTCCTTGCCTCGTTTTCGTTCGAAAATGACATGACCCACCTAGCGGGAGTATGACGCCGAGCACCCAATTCTGCAAATTCATCTGTCTCGGTGCTCGTCGAACCCTCGAAGCCATCCGCTGCGCTTCTAGAAGTGTCCAGCCTATCGATGGATATGTCCCATGCCAAGCCCCGATCGCGTCCATCAGCGGCTATTGTGTTCCTGATCACAGAAGTAGGCAATTGCTGTCCGTCAACCGAGAATAACACAGATCTCCCTGTTTTGTTCGTCTCCCCTAAGAGCGGACGGTACCCACGCTGATCCAACACTTGCTTTATACGAGCAGAATATGACGGGAAGAGTAGCCTAAGCTGAATTCTTTGAGATGGTGGGCAAAGAGAGTAGTCCTGTAGCAACGTGTAGACATCTTCACCTTCGATAACCACCCCTGGCTGCAACGGCAATGGTGACTCAATAGATGTTGGCGTATGGGTTTTGGCTATTCGATGTAGGCGAATGACATGGTTCTGATAGGTTCGAGCGTACGCGGGATTGGGGAATAGTATGAAGTAGCGACCTGCTGATTCCAACGTCGTGGGGTCTCGCAAAGGAATGACTATAATTCGGGTTAGTAACAAGCATCTTGTGCACATATTTCTCCTTTCTCAACCCACTTTTCAGGATATCGCCGGGACCAGTCCAATCGTCAATGTGTTGCCCCTTGGGTGCGATCCGTCGGAAGTCGCTTTCGATAAGTGACTTGCTGCCTGTATCGAGCCAAAGAACTGCGATTTGCTGGTGCCGAAAAACCTTTGCAGCTGCTGCTTTTGCCACTCTCTTGGGTTGCGCTCTCTCGCTATCAGACTCATGGCCGATTCCTCCTAATGCATCGTCGACCTCGGGCAACGGTAAACGAGGCAGGTTTTGAACATCGTCGTGAAGTCTGGGATCTCGGTTGCCATCCCTTTGGACGTCCTCTGGGAACAATTCTTCAAGCAGTGACGGTTTTTGCGAAGGCGGAGGGTTTGAGGGTCTGAATCTTATAAAGCTTGCTCCCTTGCCGAATCTGTGTAGCAGTCGGGAATGGCACAAAGCGCGCAATTCCCACCGTAGTCGTAGACATTGGGCCACAATAGGTCGTGAAATTAGCATTCGAATTCACTGTTAGCATCACCTTGTGTTAAAACGTCTCATGAGGTTGTTGTAGCTATCAGTATATATAAAAGAATAAGATAGGGCTGAGCTTGAAAACCTTGAATTTGTATGTGCAGCCAATTATTAATTCAGGGTTACTACGCTTTTTGGCTAGATATCGCGGGTAAACAAATTAGCGTCCGCAACCATTAAAATCTATTATCCTACTTTCTCATTTTAATCTTTTAATAACTTTACTATTTTCTATTAAAATTTTGAATTTTTTTTAAATTATAAAGCGTAGATTGCGCTTTTAAGTTTTTTAAGAATTCTAAAATTTAATCTTATAATTATTAAAAGATAAGGTATTTAAATATCGCTCATCAAAGATCGCTTAACAAAAGATCGCTTATTAAATTTACTCGATAGCCGAGAATCGGGGATAAAAGTCTCTATCGACTTTTGATAAGGGCTATAAGAGAAAGTTAATAGAGACTTTTATCCTCGACCCTCGAGCTCTAATTAAAAAAAAAATTATGAATTTAATTTATAGATCTTTACTCGTTCTTAATATTAGAATAATAGACTAAGTCTACTCTAATCCTATCTCTAATTTCTTAATTATTAAGAAACGAAAAAGTTTTCGTATAAGTACTCTTCTCTTGAAAATAGAAAATTGAAATTTCAGGAATAACTTCTTAACGATAGATTATAATTCTCTAAAAATCTTATTATTACGAAAAAGTGTTATAAAGATTTAAAGATTTAAATTTTAATATATTCTAGTAATATTAATATATTAATAAGTAAAGATATATGAATTAAATTTATAGAGTTAAATTTTTCTAAGTTAAATCGAATTTTAGTCTTAGCTCTAAGTTAAATCGAACTCTAATCGCTTACTATACGTTTTTAATCTACTTTTACTATTATAAAATTAATTTAATCTATATAGTATATAGATATATATATACGAAGAGAGGCGCGTTAAGATTTAATTAGAAAGATATATCGAGTATAAAGAATTAATTCGTAATAATTATCTATAAAAAATAGAGAAAGATTATATTCTTATAATAAGAAGTATCGAAATATTAAAAAGAAATAAAGATAATATATTAATTAGTAATATAAATTTTATAATATCTTCTATCGTAGTAAAATCTTTTAAATAATAAAATAGCTATTAAAGTAAGATATCGAATAATTTCAATTCGTTTAAATATATATTATTTAATATTTCTTCTATAGAGACTTAATTAACTATAATTATTATAATAAATTCTTCTCTTATAATATTATTATAATAATATATTATACGAGTAAAGATCTATAAATTAAATTTATAATCATTTTTTTTTAATTAGGGCTGTCGAGTAAATTTAATAAGCGATCTTTAATAAGCGGTCTTTAATAAGCGATCTTTAGTGAGCGATATTTGAATACCTTGCCTTTTAATAATTATAAGACTAAATTTCGAAATTCTTAAAGCATTTAAAAGCGCAATCTACGCTCTATAATTTAAAAAAATAATCTTAAAATTTTAATAGAAAATAGTAAAGTTATTAAAGGGTTAAAAGTAGAGTAAGAGATTTTAATAATTGCGAACGCTAATTTATTTATCCGCGATAATTTAGTCGATTTAATTAAAGAGCGTAATAACTCTAAATTTATAATTAGCTATATATATAAATTTAAGATTTTCTAACTTAACTCTATCTTATTCTTTTATATAAGTAAAGGCCTATAAATTAAATTTATAAAGTTGAATTTTTCATTTTTCTAAGTTAAATAAAGTTAGATTTTTCTAAGTTAAATGAAATTTTAGCTCTAGCTCTAAGTTAAATCGAACTCTAATCGCTTACTATACGTTTTTAACCTACTTTCATTACTATAAAATTAATTTAATCTATATAATATATAGATATATATATACGAAGAGAGATGCGCTAATATTTAATTAGAAAGGTATATCGAGTATAAAGAATTAATTTATAATAATTATCTATAAAAAATAGAGAAAGATTATATTCTTATAGTAAGAAGTATTAAAATATCGAAAAGAAATAGAGATAACGTATTAATTAGTAGTGTGAATTTTATAATATCTTCTATCGTAGTAAAATTTTTCGATAATGAAATAGCTATAGATATCGAATAATTTTAATTCGTTTAAATATATATTAGAGAGTATATAACGCGAAATCTTAGAGAGCTAAGTCGTATTCTTAATATTAAGAGTCTTATTACCGCTTAATTTCTTCGTAATATTCTTTATATTTATCTATTATAATTTCTTCTCTTACTTCTTCTCTTATAAAGTATTAGATTAAGTAGCTAGCTAAGTAGTTAACTAAGTAAATAATTAATATAACGTAGAATCTTAGAGAATTAAATCGTATTCTTAATAATAATAATCTTATTATCGCTTAATTTCTTCGTAGTATTCTTCGCATTTATCTATTATAATTTCTTCTCTTACTTCTTAATATTATTACGAGCGTATTCTTAATATATTACTTAGCTCTATAACTAGCGAGCCTTAATAGAAGATATCTTCTACTATATTATATCTTCTTTCTATCTATATAGTTCGATAGCCTTATTATTCTTAATCTATCTTATCTATACTAATATTATATCTATACTAGTCTTAATATTATAATAAGACTTCTTCGTATACCCCTCGGCGAAGAGAAATATAATTCAAGTATACTTCATTCGAATTAGCGAATGAATTTAAAGAAATACGCTAATAGAGGCTTTAGTAAGATATTAAGTTAAGCTATCGTATTTCTAGATAAGCTTATTAGACGAGTAACTCGATTTTAAAAAGTCTAACGAGATAGCGAAACGACCTCGTTAGAATAGTAGGCGAGGGATAAATAAGATATAAAGACTATTTATACGACTAGCGAATTAATAGTAGAAAGAAATCGTTATAAATTCTATATAGTAAGTCTACTATAAGGGTAGTAAACGTATAATCTCTTTACTAAGTATATCGATAATATTATAATAAGTCTACTATAACGGCGATAGAAATAACCTCGAAATGATTACGATTCGATCTCTTTACTAAGTATATCGATAATATATATAATAAGCCTATTATTAAATAATATTTAATATATTTAATTCTTTTCTTATCTCTTTATAAAATCTACGAATTAATAAGTATATAAGTTTACGAAAGTAATCTATATTAGTTAGATTATTAGCTATTAAGTACTCGCTATAATAGCTTAGATAAGTAAGTCTATAGAATATTAGCAGTTGAAGCGATAAGCTTATAAGGCGAATAAATATAATAAATAGCACTACGAAGTAAGATAGTTATAAGTTAAGGTAAAGAATAAAATAAAGAATAAACTTAATAGTAAGAGTATAAGAGATATAGAGTAAATCTACATCTACAAATCTGAAAAGTTTCTACTAAATTTCAAATTGCTAATCTTGCGAATAGGACTAAAATTAAGAATTCCGTCGATTTAGCAACTATCTTAAAAATTAGCTAAAATTCCGCCGATTTAATAACTATCTTAATCTTTTTCGCTAGTTCTATTAGTTTAGTAGTAATATATATAAAAAAAGAAAAGTTCTAATAATCGACGTTATGACGGTAAGATTCTACGATAATAAGTATTAATATTAACTTAAATTTAACTATAGAATTAGATAATTTAATAAAATTAGTTATATAGATAATACTCTAATATAGCGTATAATAATATATATATTAATAATAATATATATTAATATTATATATACTTCGTATATAGAATAGTACTTACTTAGAGTATATTAGAGTATATTACGTAAAATTTTTAAAGTTATTAAAATTTTTTTAAAGTTACTAAACTAATAGAATTAGCGAAAAGAGTTAGATATAGATAAAGTTTACTTAATAAACTAAATTATACTAAATCGTACTTATAATATAAACTCGGCGAAAATCGTATAGAAAGAAACTTTTCAGATTTGCAGATCTATAGTAAAGCTTCTAGATTAGGCTGCTAATAGATATTAGAGAATAATATATATATACGTTAGATTTTCTTTAATTCTATTAATAGACTTAATAATAAGAGTATAAGAGATATAGAGTAAATCTATAGTAAAGCTCTTAGGCTAGACTATTAGTAGATATTAAAGGCGAAAAAAGTAAAGGACTATAATAAGAAGATTAGATAAGAAGAAGAACTCGAAGAATCTTACTAGCACGTAGATAAGATATAGACTATATCTTCGAGATCTCTATAGAGTAACTATAGTAGATATAGTATAGTTAAGATTAATATACGATCTAGTAATATTACTATACCTCGATAAAATCCTCTTTAATTAAGATCTATAGAGACTATAAATATTTAAAGATATAAGATAAGTAATAGACCTATATCTCCGATCTATCAGCCATGAGAGCCATAGCTATTTGAGAGGGAGGGGTAGTATTACGAGCGTATTCTTAATATATTACTTAGCTCTATAGCTAGCGAGCCTTAATAGAAGATATCCTCTACTATATTATATCTTCTTTCTATCTATATAATTCGATAGTCTTATTATTCTAATTCTATTACATCTATATTAATATTATATCTATATTAATTCTAATAAATATAATAGAGATAATAAGCTAAATTATAGTAATATTCTTCGCTTACTAAGTAATAATTTAATATAGAATCGTAAAGAGTATATAATATATATTACGAGCGTACTCTTAATATATTACTTAGCTCTTAGCTCTATAACTAGCGAGTCTTAACGAAGATATTTTCTATTATATTATATCTTCTTTCTATATATATAATTCGATAGCCTTATTATTCTTATTCTATCTTACTTATATTAATATCGTATCTATACTAGTTCTAATATTATAATAAGACTCCTTCGTATACTCGACGAAGAGAAACTTAAACGGATATACTCGAGGATAGTAGAGTTACTAAATAGCTATTAAATATTTTACTTTCTACTCGAAGTAAGCGATCGAGCTTAATAAAGAAAAC